TTATATTTTGAAGGACTTTATAAGCGCACGCCCAAGGTGTAATATTTTCCGCAGCTTCAAAGTTTCAAGCAGGTGACGGATTGTTCTTTAACACTGCTTTGCAATTCTTTAGAGCTGTCCATTAAGAGCATTATTCTATTCAACCACATCTCGAACGCTTTTAGGCAGTTGATCGTATCAGCATTGGTGTCCAGGTATCCAGGTGTCCAGCTCCATATAAACAGCGACCAAATATAACACTTACTTAATCTTTGTCACAATTTCAGGTTTAAGTTATTGTTGCCAGAAAGACCTTGCATCAACAACGTTTTGTCCAATGATAAATTGGTCAATCCAGAGCCTCATACTGATCTAATTACGTTCAAAATACTTATTTGTCGAACTCATGACGAAGTGCGTGTTCGCTTATTTTAACGAGTCTTAGATTTAATTAGAGCTGCATGTTATGTTCCATATGATTTAATGACATTTTATGCTATGTTAAATCACATAATTTCTTTATACCTGCTATGCAAGTAGCGCACCTAGTAATAGTTTAGGACAGTTTACGTTTACATCGTGCATGAAGCAAGTTTGGTAAAACAAATATATTCTTTGGCTTTTATTTTCGCTGCTTGAGGAATTTCCTTAAGACTACAGCCATGATTGGAAGATTATTTTTGGTTGGCTTATACATCATCGATGCCCAATGCTGAATGACAATCGTTATGACCTATTAAAAGCTACACTCTTCCAAGTCCCTCGTGTCTTTTGAAATGAAATTATTGTCTGGATCATATTGTGTTTATATAAGTTTTTCTCGTGTGACATATTTATATCATCACGAATGTATCTTACAAACTTATTGGTTTTTCACAAGAAAGGCTCTTGACAGTATTGAATATGGAATGATCGGCAATTACTATTTGAACCTCTTTTTAAACCAAATAAAGGGTACAGGCAAATAGCAGGGAATATCTTAATGAAGTAATTTCGAGAAAAACGCAATTAAAAGTTTAAAAGTATATCATTTCTGTTGAGGTCAAAGTATGAAGTTACTTTTACTTAGAACTTATTAAATGTTTTATATCTAACCTAATTTTATCATTGACATTGGACCTTTTAGTTATTAAGCATATTTAAATTGAACAAAGATCAAGTTAAACATTTTGAAACAATTAGAAAAGAAGGAATGTCGAATACAGTGATCGGAATCTTTGATTTTTGAATCATATTTATTAATTTATTATATAACATTATTATTGATATCTTCATGTTTTACCCTCACTTTATAGCTATATGCAGATGTATGAAAATTAGTCTCATCTTCAGACATCTTCGTTTCATATCATGAACATTTATAAGCCCTGATAAATATAATTTCTGTTCACTGACGCTACCAAAGGAGTTGAAATATTTAATAATATTTCTTTGAATATTTTCGGTTATATTTTCAAAACACTTGAACCTCGAAAAATTGCAGAAGAAAATCGCAACTTGTTTATTTTATCTTCTGTTTTACCAGTCTTCTTTTTTTTGCCGATTTGTTAATAATTTTTGTATTTTTAACATTATCTGAATGAGAAACAATATTCAACTTCAAATTATTATACCGCAAACTTTATGAAAGTTCTAACCTCATTTTGGGCAATCGTTCTTCTTTGAACATTCCCGGTTCTTTTCGCCATAAACAAAAATGTCTTTTTGGCGGCATATGATTACTTATTTCAAAAGCTTGGGAATTAAAATTGATACACAAGGATTTGCTTCCAATGGAAAACTAAACAAAAATAAAATAAAAATTGTGGCATTCCCTATTCTTCGAATGTACCCTTCAAATGTGCCATATTTCTCACCTTGGAAACAGTGAAAGAATGACGCTTCCTTGAGGGACGTTAAAGGGGAGATTTAAATGTTCTCTGATTGTTTCCAAGAAAGCCTCAAGCCTCAGGCAGGTCTAGAAATCTGACTCTACATCTCTTGGCTTATAACTACTTGTATATATTTTCAGTTAGTTCAGGAAGAGAGGGAAGAACCCGAACAAGGTTTTGCGGTCACCCGTTTTAGTCTGATTCAAATGTTTCGATATACTCGAGACTTTAAGGACCAGAATTTTCCGGGCTGGTATTGTGGACTTTCAACTGTAACTATGAAAATTGTAAAACGCCCTATTGAATTTTCAAAGCTGCACGTTAAACCTGCCAAATTGTCAACCGTTAACATATTGTAATGCTGGAGACTCCAATGACGGTACAGACACGAAACATTGCCCATCCGCAGCACGTATTCTTGATTCCCGGCAGCAAATACTAGATGAGTTATGATAAAAAATTAAGTTTAAACATGATGAATAATCAGTTACAAAGCCATCATTCAGTCAAGCCACGAATAATTACATAATACGCCGGAAGAAAAAATAAGAGCTATCGTTAGAACCTATTAGGAAGACAGTCTAAAAACAAAATCAGTCTGTCCAACAGCCGTTATAATCTATGCAAGAGAACATAGACACAGTTACCTTTCTGTGCTGTAGGAAGCGGTATAAGTCAGCGATAGCCAAATGAGGATGCACTCTACGGTATTTCAGTAGGAAAAAATTATGCATTCTACGCCCGTCCAAGCACTGCTTCTAGAATTGAGTAATTAAAAAGAAACAACTACCGAATCGCAATAGACGGCTATGAAAACGTATTTGAATATGTATGTGTACAGAATATTGCTAGAGTTAAGTATGCAAAGGGTGTATCAATAAGAACGCAATATTTGAATTTAGCGCCATTTTGACAGTCATAATGTCATAATGATTGTGACATGACAGATCGATAGTAGACAGCCGGGAGTTGATAAAATGAATGAATTATTACACAATAGAACAGCATAACCTAATTGTTAAAAATTATTACCAAAGCTGCTAAAGATTAATTGCCACGATTCGAAAAGTGCAGCTAATATTTGGTCGGAATAATGTTACTACCCCATCCACTGTGAAAAGAACGATCCAAAAATTTGAAAGTACTGGTTTTGTTAATGATTTGAAACATACGAAACGAGCTCGCAGCAGTCGTCCAGAAGAAAATGTCGGAGCAGTTCGCGAAAATATAGCCGAGAGTCCAGGGACGTCGATTCGTCATCACGTTCAAGAATTGAACAGAAAAACAGCCACTCTTCAGCGTATTCTAACGAAAGATTTACACCTGCATGCCTACAAAATCCAATTGACTCAACAGCTCATGTCAACAGACCATGCACAGCGAAGAGAGTTTAGCAACTGGATCCTTGTCCAGCAGTACCTATGTGGCTATGTGAATCGTGATTTTGTAGACAAAATCATTTTTAGCGATGAGGCCCATTTTCATCTCGTTGGCTTCGTCAATAGACAAAACTGCCGCATTTGGGGCATACAGAATCCAATAGTTATTCACGAGAAAGCTATGCATCCAAAACGTGTCACTGACTGGTGTGCACTATGGTCTGGAGGAATTGTTGGACCGTTTTTCTTTTAGGACGAGGCGGATAATCCACTAACAGTGAATGGCGAACGTTATCGTGCAATAATTACTCAGTTTTTTGTGCCACAATTAGAAGACCTAGCTATTAATGACATATGGTTTCAGCAGGACCTCGGTTGGCCGCGTGGGTCAGAGTGTCGTGCTACTGATCAGCCGGCCGGCCGGGCCGCGAGTTCGAATCTCGCCTTCGCCATGGATGTTGTGTGTTTGTTTTAGGCAGCAGCGGTGACCGCAGTAGTAGACTCTTCGGTCTCCTGATCAGTCGCCGTGCGCTGTGCGGGATCGAGTCCCGTCCCAGGAGAAATTTTTCTCTTGGCTATGGATGTTGTGATTGTCCGTAGGTGGTAGATGGTCTCTGACTGTCGAACGCGGAGGTACCACCCGGCGGTTCTCGTACGCGGAGCCAGAATGCACGAGTTAGCTTCTGGGCGAGTCATCTCCCGGTTTGGTGACCAGAATTGGCCGCCACGCTCTTGCGACTTAAGACCTTTGGACTCTTGGCTTTGGGGTTATCTAAAATCACAAGTTTACGCCAACAAGCCTGCAACCACCGAAGCACTGAAAGCTGAAATCAGATGCTGTATCAATGAGATACCACAACATATGTTCAAAAATGTTACCACAAATTTTATTAAAAGAGTGCGCATGTGCCAGCGGAGCCGTGGCAGCCATTTACCTGATGTATTGTTTCATTCATAATCAAAGTGTATATATATATACCATAATCCAATATATTTCAGTTGTTTGTTACGAAATACCATGTTTAATATTGCGTCCTTATTGAAACATCCTTTATATAAGTGCAGTTAGTACAAACCAACTTTGCCTTCCATATTGAAGTGCTGGGAGATCCAAGCAAATGAGAGCAATATCTAAGAGTATAGTACTCATGAAATCCTCAGTATTGCTTAACAGAAATCGCTTTTAAGTTTAGCAATAACTTAAGAACAACTTTTTATCAACCTAACATATTGTAACGCCTTCGTAAATAGAACTTTGAGTTACGAATTGGACACCCTCGTAACAACGACGCCTATGCAACCAAATTACGCGACCGCACATCGCGAACATTCGTCACGTATTGAGAAGTATCAACCGCGATGTACAAAGCTCCGACTGAGCTCCGATAAAGTCTCAAGTTCGGTTTAGAAAATGCGGGAGCGCTCTGGACTCGTCGATTCGAAGAGAAATACACACATAGAGGGCAGTGTACGGTAGAGTCGACCGACAGCGGATGATAAGTCAGCAGCGCAAAATACTATAGTCCAGTCGACATGGTCATAAATAATTTTTTAATAAATTAATTAGTGTGAGGTTATTAAATTAGACTAAATAGTAAAAACGATGTTTTCGTTATAATATAATTTTTATAGTCAGAATTTCAGATAATACCTACATGTTTATGCATTTTTGATGCCTACATTGCCATGAGATTCTAAATTATTAATAATAATGGAATTGCATAATAATCATGAGATGTAGCATTTGGTAAAAGACATATTTACATATTACCTTATCCCAGCTGAAATATTCAAACATCTCTCAGTTCACATTCACTCCCAGATTTCAGATTACAATGGAAATATTTACACATAGTGCACCGCGACGCTATTCAGAAACAACAAACATACTGAATGGGAATGTCAAGTGGTAAGGTAAACTGTAACCGTATTGAAACTTGTTTGTTTGAGCATTATACAACATTTATTTTTTATGGTTGGTCAACATATGTATTTTATGTTCTACCACACGACTCTTTTTCACATATTTATAGGGGCATTCACAGGGACACTGTTTAGTGATCCACATGATATAATGAGCAGTTTCTCTCAACAGCATCATCGTCCGAGTTAGTACTTTGACAACTTTGATACTAGGAACCGATTGCTAGCAGTATTGTTTTCAAAAACAAGTATCCGAAGTTTATGATAGAAAAGATTTGGTACCAGGAAAGATTAGCTATTGGCTTACACTTCTGTATGGCAAGTTTGTATTCCCAGTTCACAGCCTGATCTGCCTTATGGGCAGATCTCACTTCAAGAAAACGGATTGACGGAATGGTAATGGACGTAACCCATTTTAGATGCCCCTAAAAAGTATCAGGAGCCTCTGAAACATCAAGAAGTTAATTTTGAGCAATTTTTCTTTCATTTCTTGTCTGAAGCTCTGCCGTCACTGAATCGATTTTTCAATAATACAAAGATTTTGATCACTGGCTTAGTCGTAAGCTTGTTTCAAAATGTCACCAAAATCCAACCGGTACTTTCTAAGTTGTAGCTGAGCCAAGAACTAGCGGACAGCCTGACCAGATCGACCGGTAGACCGACAGACAAAAATGGGAATGACATGTTCTTTTGTGATCGAAATTTTCTGCAATTACGTCATGGCCAGTGACGTGGAAAGTAAAACAGGCGCAATGGATATTGCACAAAGGTATAAAGTCCGTCAATATTCAGTCTACTGCAGATTAAAGTATAGCCATTTACATGATATGGTGTCTATATAGCAGACTGCTACATGCCAGTTTTGCTACAGTTAGAATTAGCGTTGATGTATGTTGACAAGAAGGATCAAAGGTGGTCGAGTTGTCGTTTCGCCTCTTCTGCTACTCAAACCATGTTAAAGGGAGGCAAAATACTGCTACTTAATTGTTCAGCATGGCTAATAACTCAACATCTTCCTGTTTTAGTTTCCTAACGTATAACAATAGTTAAACAACTACCGTGGAGATAGTGATAAATGGTTGTAGATTGCCTGGGATCCGTCTCACCTGTTATGTGTGAGATAAGCGATTACGCGTTGAACAAATTAATGAGCTCTTTGTCCATGTGCGGGTAATCCGTCTATTGTACCAACTAACAATGCAATGAATATCTGCTGCCTGGATGAAGTGCTCCAATCAGGTTAAAAACGGGAATGATAGAAACACGTCATTACATCTAATGTATTAAATTAAGCAGCTCGTGAAAAAGTAGTCGCACACCATATATGGCCTATACGCTCCTAATCCAATCTAATACCATAATACAATCATATCAAGATTCACCAACAGAAAAGATACCTGTTAATAATGGCAAGGTTGGAGCCATCTTGTCATAGCGACGTCTGGGGTGTCAGACGAAGTACGGCGATATTGGGCCGTAAAAAAGTCCCACCTCCATAACGTCTTTCTTACTATTTACCCCTATAAAAAGGGGTTTGTTGGTTAATATCAGTAGAGAATAAGACAAGAATTCCACTTTCGAACTAAAATTAAAAACATTTGCTTCAGGTAGGAGTAGGCAAATCTATGAAACTGAATTTGAATCATCGGTTTACTTAGGTTAAATGAAGCGCTATATACATGGTGTCCTCAAAGTTGGGGTTATCTTGAGAAGATCAGCGGATTTTCTGAGTAGCATATACACCAACGTCTTAAGAGAACCGAGATATTGGGCTCCGCAAACTCAATCAAACCTGAACAGTTATACGACGTACCAGTACGTTTCTTTGGGGTGGAATTAAACGCTTGGTGTACAAAATTGAGGTGCACACGGCTGAGGAAACAATTGAACAAGCTGCTGCATTCATTCGGGGAAGAGACCCCAATCTAAAAGCCTGCACCGATGCTTGGCTACGTCGAGCACGCACATGTGTTTTTGAATCCAACGGCGACAACTTCGAACAGTAAATATAAAATATACTAAGTGACATATAAATCCGAACACCCAGTTTAAATGGTTTTATGTTAATAAAATTTTGTATAAGTACTTAATGAAGCATAATAAGTAAATGATAAAAATTTCAAAATGATTGCACTGCTTTAAAGCCCTTTGACCTTTAATAATGTGTGGATGCACCCTGATGTGCTACGCATTCTCCAACGCGCCTAGGCATGCTTCTGATCAGGTGGTCAAAGTCCTCCTGTGGTATCTCATTTCAGGCAACCACCAACTCCTCTCGAAGTGCTTCTAGAGTCTGAGGAGGAGGTTGCAAATTGAGCAATCTCCTACCCATCATATCCCACACGTGCTCAATTGCGGATAAGTCGGGAGATCTTGGTAGCCATGGTAACAATGTGACATCATTATGTTGAAAGAAGTCTATTGTGACTCTTGCAACATGTGGTCGGGCATTATCTTGTTGGAAAGTTGGATCTGCCAGGGTGTCAAGATAGGGTAAAAGATGGGGTTCTAGAACTTCGTGGATATAACGCTGCGCGTTCATGTTACCTCTGATGAAGATTAAAGGTGACCTGGAACCATAAGCTATAGCACCCCAAACCATAACTCCAACAGTGTGATGAACATGTCTTTCAACAAAAAACTGTGGATTCCTCCTTTCACCACGTCGCCTTCTAACCCTGGCACGACCATCGTGCATGCATAAACAAAATCGAGACTCGTCACTAAAGACAATACTGTTCCATTCCTGATCCCAGAGTGACCGTTGTCTGCACCACTCAAGGCGATTACGTCGGTGTTCTCGAGTTAAAGGGAGGACCCAGTGTGGCCGGTATGAAAACAAGCCTAAACTTCTCATTCGTCGGTAAACACTTCGCATGCCAATAGGTCTTCCGTGTTCTGCAAACCATTCATTTGCAATGGACCTGGTAGTGGAGAAACGGTCCCTTAAGGCCAATAATCTTAGGCGGCGATCTTCACGGTCTGTTGTTCTACGGCGGCGTCCAGTGCCCCTTGCTCTTTGCGTACGGCCTTCTCGAAACCATGCCTGACAACACCTAACCACAGTATCTACACTTCTTTGCACTCTAACTGCAATTGCCCGAAAAGAAAGTCCAGCTTCCCGAAGTCCCACTATACGGCCCGTATCAAACTCGCTAAGTTGACGAAATCGTACAGGTCTCCATACTCTAGGCATCGTAACCGATCGTAAAGGATGTCAAGAACCAAAATCCGCCAACGTTGATTCTTTACTGCGGCTGAAATATTCATTTTTAGAGCGTTAGTGAATTAAAAAAAAGCAGTATAAAAACCGGAATGTTTAACTGATAAGGCTGAACATTTTTTCACTTGTTATTTACAGTAAGATAAATACATTCACCAACTTTTATTAAAATAAAACCATTTAAACTGGGTGTTCGGATTTATATGTCACTTAGTATACGTTCACCAGGAAAAAGTGACACCGACATCATATTTTCGATCTCTTTTTTGTTATTTTTGTTAATGTGCTCCTCGAATTTTACGACAGAGCCGTACTTGGAATTACAAGTCAACTGGACAGTGAGTACTTTTTAATTTTTTTCTACTTATTCGCTCACGTTTCACTACACATTAGCTTTCTTATATCTAGCGTAGTTGTGTCTGAAAACGAAAACCTCAACTTTGCGGACACCCTGTATAATTTATGGCACCGACTTGTCGTTAAAATAAAAGGTCCATAGGGATAACCGGAACGTAAAACAAATCGCAATTATTAACGTTGTTGTGGTTGAATATTGATATCAATTTTTTATTAGCAATATTTTCATTTTAGAGATAAACTTGCATACGAGCCTGTACGCTCACTGCACCTACTGCTTGGAGTTTTGTCCTTAAACACCGAAAACCTTAGCGCTGCCAGGCATGTACAGTGAATCAGGAGGTACAGGAACAAGAACATAGTAACTTCTTCTGCTGGTCCCAACAGCCTTTTCCGCTCAGTTAGATGAAAGTAAAACATATCCACTAACTCCCATACTATAATTAAGTACATTTAGTACCTAATTAGGTTACGACATCTCTACTCGAGTAAATTTATTACATAACGTCGATCTGATGCTTATCCAGATTAGATTTTGATGGTAGGAGGGTCCGTTTGAAGGTAAATGAGGAAATATTAAAGTTGATCTGCCTCCTAATCTACATTCTTTAAATGCTGTGCCGCTACACGCAGACTATTAATTTGTAATTAAAGTTAAGTCGGACGTACTACGGTTACGGTATTTATACAGGATGATTCACACAGCAGGTGCTACCAGACTGATAGTGCTCCTATTTAGTTACAAAAAACAGATATTCCTACCAAAGTAGCCAGAATTATAGAAAAATACTTGCTCATCCGACAGCACGTGTGCAACAGGCCAATAGAAAACATCGTACCACAACCTGCGTCAGAATATGCAGATGATTTGAGCGTTCTACTACAAAAGTAATAGTTTTATTATTTATTGTTTATACACATGCCAGATAATTCATATAAAATAAATGTTTCAAATCCAAAAAAAACCTAAACACAGTTGGAATCGATCTAGGACAGAAAGTATGCCCAAAGGTAATATAAAAGGTTTTTATAGTCCTGGATGCTAAAATTCCCCTCATAGGAGTTGCAGGATGTTTATGTTATGTAAACGAAGGTAGATGAAGGTCAAATTGCATAACGTACAAAAATGCCCTTGTTAAGATTGCACCGATGGGGCAGGAACAGTTTTCTTACCCCTACTGTTGAAGCATGATAAACTGACGATCGATTAATTAGTTCCACTCTATATGAAATTTGTACGCGCGTCGAACGGGCTAAGTCTAATACAGTGCTGCTCAAGATTTATACGGGAAAAATGCCTTCCAGTAACGTTCTTTAGGAACCTGTATCTTTGTAGGGTGGCATCTTAAAGATGCTGCTTTCGTCAGTCCGGCCGCAGACGGC